ATAAATCATATTTTTAACGAAATACTCAGAAAATATAGATATTTAATTTTTTATATTCAAATGTAGATAAAAAAGATATATGAAGAAAAATAATAAATAATAATTAAAAACCTCAAAACTCAACGAATTTCCGCCAAAAAGCGCACATTTCTGTTTGCAACAAGACCAAATTACATTTTTTTCAGTTTTTATAGCAACTTTTACTAATTTTCTTTTGCTCCATCTTCCTTCGCTACTTCGTATAGCTGGCAATCTTGACTGCTGGAATGAGTTGTTGCAAATCAATGTCAGCGACACTTCATCGTCGGCATCGCCCTCGCCCGTCGCATCATTGAATTCGCCAACTCAGCAACAACAACAACACAAGCTGGACGATTGCAAAACGCACTTGCGCCTGGAGCAGCAACTGTCGTCGCCACAGCAGCAGCAGCAGCAGCAGCAGCACAATATCATTTTGAATGCCGTGCCATTGATAACAATACAAGACACTAAGAATATTTTGTTGCAACAACAACAACAACAACAACAACAACTCAATGTCAGCAATAAAATGCTAATAAAAGATGAAATGTTGCCAGTGCAACGTGGCGGTCATAAAATCACAACAATCAAGCTGTTGCATGGCCAAGCAACAACAATAACAACACCAGCGCTTGCCACAGCCGGCGCTGCACCGGTGCGTATGATTGACATTAAACAGCAGCAGGAACAACAAAGGCAACAACAGCAGCAACAGCAACAACAATCGCATAAACGGCATTTGGTGAGCGCCATGCCCAGCGCACAGCTGGAGAGTAAACGCATGAAGAGCGCCGCAATGGACTTGCAGGCTGTGCCACAACTGCTGCAACAGCTGGTGTCGCCGCTGCAGCCGCAACACTTGAAGGAGCAGCAACAAAAACTGCAACAACAACAGCAGGCGCGCAAAGCCAGCAGTGGCATGTCGCGCTGGGTCGCCAGCGCCGAGCTGAAAGCCAACGCAAATGGCATGCAACAGCAGCAACAACAACAACAATCGAATTCAGTGCTGAAGAATTTGCTAATTAGCGGCTGCGATGTAAGTGCAGGCTATTGTCTGGTGCCGATGCGGCCCAAAAAACTAGCGAAGGCATAAATTGTTGCGCACGCATGTGTGGCGGCGTGGGCGAAGGGACGTTGTTGGCTGACGCGCCTTGTGGTGTTCGACAGCCACACCTTGGTCCACTTCAGCGCCGCACATTGGCGCATAACAAGTTGTATTTTAAAAATACATTTGCCCAATCAATTAACCAACACAACCGTTTATTTGCCGTTGTAGATGGAAACACAAAGCAATTTACAAAAACAAAACCAAATTGAATATTGATATTGAATTTCGCTAATATGCGGTTACAGGCTGGTGTTTGGAATTGGTCTTCAGACACAATTAGCGCGTAGTTTACTTTAAAACGTTGCATATTGGTTTATTTAGTTTTATAAATTTTGTAGATGGATCGATTTTATGATTAATACGCGCACGCAAACATTTTTTTGTTAAAATTTAATTATAACGCCGTAAGTTATGCTAAAAGAAAACTGTAGATACAGCAAACTATAGAAAAAAATATTCTTTATATCTAATAATTAGTACTAGAACAAATTAAAATATTATTACAATAAAAATATTGATTTAAAATTACGTTAATGAGTGTAAGCTAGTTAAATAGTTTAAACTATAACCTTAGCACTAGTCGAATAGCTCTAARCAGCGTGAGAAATGTGGAGAGACAGACGCTACGAGATTTGTTATAGCAATACACACACATGTATGTAAAGAAACTTGCACAAAAACACACACACACATATGTGTATTTATATACATACCTATATACTTATATGTATATACTTTATATATATATAAAACCAGATATCAGAAGTTGCAATCAATTCTCCGCTGTTGTTATTTACACTAATTTTAAATTCAGCTTTAAGTTGACCAAAAAAGGAGAATTTTTTTTAGGCTAAAATTAAAGTTGTTAAATTTGTTAAAAACGGACACTGTAAATAAATAATTTAGCTACATGCATACATATATATAAAATGAGCGCAAGCAAAAATGCAAGCTAAAAAAATAAAATATATAAAATTATTTGACAAAAACAAAAAAAAACATAATGAGCGTTAATGTAATAGGTGGTTGGACAGAATGCGTTGAAGAAGAAGAAAACAAACGTAAAAATATTAAATTAATCAATAATTTCCAGCAGCACAGCTTAACAGACGCCAATGTCAAAAGCATGCCTTTGCGCACTGTATCAGCCGACAAAGTGAAGGTGTAATGCTGTCTTTATAAGACTTGCTAATTTCGAGATTTGAGTTAGTATGCCGTATAGTTAGCTAAACCAGCGCACACATACCAACAAACAAAAGCAAAAACAAAAACAAACAGCTACTATTATAATACTTGAGCTTGTGCGCATTGGCTCAGTTACATATGCAACATAAATACACACACATACGCATACACATATGTATTTTTAAATAGGGTTAAATTATATAGACGTGTTTATGCACAAACTGTAGCGACTTTAATTTTCTACTGTGATAGAATTTTCCTTTTATTTGTGTAGCTAGCATGCACACACACACACACACAAATATATATACATACAGCTAAGTTATTTAGGAAGTTGTACACTCGTGGCCACTCAAACCCTACCACTATACTAAAACGTAGTAAAATATGTACAATACTTGAAAATTTTGAGTGCGTAGCCGCGAGTGTATATGTAGACAGAGAGCCAACATTAGAAAGTCAATTTGTTGTATTTTTCGCTTATTTCCGGGCTTTCGTGCGTGGATTTGTTTAATATTATTTTAGCATAACGATTTTGTGGTTAAAAAAGGCGTGATTAAACACTGCTACTAGCTTGATATTTTACCACCATAATGAGTTTATAGCTTTTTTGTTGTTTTTTGTGCGCCACAAAACAGAGAGAAGAAATTTGGTTGGCACCGTTGAAGATTTTTCTAGAGATGTGTGCAACATAAAGCAGTTTATATTTATTTGTAAGTTTAATTGAGCAATTTTGGAGTTAGAAGTGAGACTTTGGGGTTAGAAATGAACTATTGACGTTAAGGAATACATTTTGAGGTTAAGATTTAAAATTTGAGTTTAAAACGAGTTTTTCGGCTCAGAATCAGCGCTTGACATGAGAAAAGAGCTTTTGAGGTTAAAATGAACTTTGGAGATCAGAAAAGAGCACTTGAGGTTAAAACGAACTCTTGAAGCTAGAATTGAACTTTTTGGGTTAAAATGAACTTTCGGGTTTAAGAATAAAATTTTGAGATTGAAATGAGTTTTTCGGCTTAGAATTAACGAATGAGAAAGGAGCTTTTGAGATTAAATTAAGCTCTTAAGGTGAGAAATGAACTTTTGAAGTTAAAATGAACTTTTGCGGCACTTGAGGTTAAAGCAAACTCTTGAAGTTGAAGGATAAATGAACTTTTGAGATTTTAAATGAACATTTGAGGTTAGAAACGAGCACTTGAGGTTAAAACGAACTCTTATAGTTAAGAATGAGCTCTTGAAGTTCGAAATAAACTCTCGACCCTAAAATGAGCATTTCAACTTAGAATACAGTTTTACAGGTTAAAAAGAGCATTTTAGCTTATAAGGAGTGTTTGAGCTTTGAAGTGATCTTGTGAGCTTAGAATGAACTTTTGAGTTTAGAAAAGAGCTTTTGTGGTTCGAAATGCGCTTTTTAGGTTAGATATTAGAACTTTGGAGGGTAGATTAAGCTCTAGAAAGAGCTTTTGGGCTTAGAATGAACTTTTGAAGTTATAAATGAGTTTTTGAGTTTAAAAAAAGGGTTCGAAGTTCAGAAAGAGTTTTTGAAGTAAAAATGAACTTTTGATTTTAGAGAGAACTTAAAATGAACTTTTTAAGGTTAGAAATGTGAAGTGTTGTTAATTTAACCACGTGATATTTATAATTTGATATTATTGCCATTATTTGCAAAAAAAACTTATTTTTTTTTTTAAGTTCTTGTATCCACCAAAGCATTTTTTAAGTACTTGTTTCCGCTAAAGCAAAGTAAGACCACGTGTGTTGCCACCTTTTCAGTTTGTGCAAATAAATAATAATATACCTTTATTTCAGTTTTCCTATATTTTGTTCTACCATAACTCTGTTGACTATAAACAATATATTAGTAACCTTAGAAGCAATATGAAAATATATGAAAATAGTAAAAGAGTTGGGTTTCGATGAACATTGTGGTAAATATAGCGAAAAATTGTGTTTAAAGTAGAAAAATATAAACAATTGGAGCGCTAATGGTACAAAAACAACAAGAAATAATATAACGAAAGTAAAATTTGTCACAGCCACACTAGCATTAGCAAGTAATGCGTTGACTTTGCTAAATTTGAACAGAAACAAAAAATAAAAAACGTAGTTTTAAATAGGAATAGCGGAATTATGTAAGAAATTTGCAAAGAAAACGCAAAAAAAAAAAACACATTGAAAATACTAAGCAAATGAAATACAATATTAATGTTATGTGTTAAGTCGACGGTAAAAACGAGCTGTAAGACGTTTGGAACGACTGAGATGGCGACACAAACTAACTGTTTGCAAAAGGAAGGTGCAAAACGGACTTTGGCAGCATAAATTAGAATAGTTATAAAAAGTATAAGCGAAATCACTAAATTTGCAAGTTCATTAAAAGCCACTAATAGTTGACAGACACAGTTGCATAGTAAAAAGATTGTAATATGTAGTTATGACAATAGTAAGGCAAATAAAGAAAATAACTGCAATAGCAACAAAAACCCTACAAAACGGAGCTTTAAATAGACAAATGAAACTAAAAAGGAGAAAATATTGAAACTACTAAACTGAAAACAGAAAAAATTGCAACAACACAAATAAAATCTTAAACATGAAACAACACAATAAACTTTTAAAAATTAAACTTTAAAGTAAAAATTACAAAATAGTGAAACAGCAAAATTAAACAATAAAAAATGAGACTACAAAATAAGAAATAGTAAACAATCAAACTGTAAAATATTCAGAAACTCCATTGGAAATGTTAAAAAACAAATATTTTAGTTTTTTTTTTTTTGCAAATTTTCAAAAATTATGTTCAAGCATGCGTAATTTGCATACAAATAGTAATATATGTCAATATTTAGCCAAAATTAGCGCCGCACTCTCTCCAATGTGCTTTAAATATCCAAAACAAGTGACATCACATACTTAAAACTACTTGCATCTTCTACATGCACACGCTGTTTATTCATTTCAACCCACTTATTTACTTAGTTACATAAGTTGTAAAGCAACTTCTTTAGTTTTAAGCTTATTTTTGATAACCTTTACTACATTGTCTTGTCTAAATATACGCTCAAACTACTTGAAGTTCTTATGTATATGCACACACACTGTACTATTTTTATCTTCTTTTTTTTTAGTTGCTAAGCAATATTTTCCTTTTAAATTATCTATTATATACTATATAAGACACCACTTATGCTTTCGATTTAATTTAGTTTTAGTTTACAAAAGCGCAGCCTCGAGTTGTGAACAGACGATATACAAACAATAACAAAAAAAGTAATAATAGTAATAATAATAAGTTTAAACATCATGAAAAAATAAATAAGATTTTTTTCTAAAACATAATGCAAATTGCTGAACAAAGTTGGTTTTATTTCATTTTTTGCATTGCAAAGTTTTAGTTTATAACTTTTTTATTTTTAATATATGTATGTAAGCGTTTACTTTTTCACCACACATAAAATAACAGTAAATATTGCAATTTATTTATATATAATTTTTTAAACAAACTTTTTTATGAATATATTTGATTGTAGTTGCCCATATATTTTTTATGTACTTTATATATACACTATTCCACATTTTATTTGGCTGCCTTATGATTGCTCATACGCCATGTCCAACTTTAAATGCGCATTTTTATATATTGTCTATTTATATTTACCTATACTCCACTCCACAGTTATTGAAATAGCGATCTGAAATTTGCACTTGCATTTTTCTCGCCAAGGAGCTGCTCATTTGTCGAAATT